GGGGGGTGTGGGTGGGGCGGGGAAGTTAAGGGACGTGGAAGTCTTTGACCTGTTTGATTACCTTTTTATTATTTGGTGTGGTGGGATTGTGTTTTTAAAAGCACATGGAATCATTACAGAAGCCATAAACTATTTGGTATAAATTTTAAGGAACCAGCAAGTTGCTGGATGAAGGCGTTTTATCTAAATTTGTTTTAATATATATGTATATGGTACAGTACTAACTTCATTAAAATTTAACAGGTACTTTAATATTTCCAATAAATTGTGGAGAATGCCTCCTCTTTAATGGCCTGCAAATAGGTGCATTTTATTAGAGGCTTCTAAGGGTATTATTTTTTCAGTAGAAGGAACTTTTCCACCATAAAATATGAACAGCCCAGACCACTTTTCAGTTTGTGCTTTGCTTTGGTCGAACTTCGTGTGTGTTCATCACCCATCAGTTATACATTTGTGAGGGTGTTTATTCTATATGGATATTGTTTCATGTTTGTACGGGAAAATTGTAGTTAAACATTTCATTGTCTCCAGTCTGCAAAAGAAGCACAATTCTATTGCTTTGTCTCGCTTATAGTCATTAAATCATTACTTTTGCATATAAATTGCTGTTATTTGTCCTGCTTGTTTTTATAGACCAGGTGATTGCAAATCCTCCACAAGGTTATTGCTTATTGATGTATAATGTCTTGTTAAACAAGAGTTGATATTTTTTCCTGTAGTAAACATGTACAGTTCAATTTCAACAGTAAAAACTTCAGTTTTATATACACGAATAACTTTCATTTATAGCTGATCTAAGAAATAAACAAATAAAAGGGATAATTCATTGAAAAATAGCAAATTACCTCTGTTGATAATGTGGTGTTAAAGGACAAACATCTTGTTCTCATTGGAAGTCTTTCTGGGTGTACAAAAGATTTCAGTGAACAGAGCAGTATAGTGCTAAAATAACAACCAAAAAAAAAGCGCCTAGAAATCGCCATGATTTGTTTTGATCGCCTGCCTCGAGAACATTTGCTGTTCTTTATTTGACCCCGAATTATTCTTGAAGATAAGCAAATGGTGTATCCTCACGTCCCGGTCAGGCACAGGTTTTACCTCCTACCTGTTCAAACTTAGCCCCTCTTAAACCTCACTGCCTGGGAAGGGAAGAACACGATTTTTGTGATGGCGAGTGCCAGGTTCCGCCTGCGCTGCTCTGGATTACTTTTTAAAGCCTCAGTGGAACTAAATACGCTTTAATGTAAAGATGTCTCCCCATGCGACCGAGTGTCTATCTTGGCACGATTCCCTCAACTATATGAGTTAATCACACTGTACTGGTTCAATTAATTCACCCAAAGAGCAGCACTGAACCTGCAGCAGAGGGTTGTACGTGAGCGCACCGATCAAATTGCGCTTATTTTTACTGGAAGGAGCTGGTAATGACAACTTTGAGCATCAAAACGGAACTATTCTCGGTCTTTGTAAAGTGTCCGTGAAGCACAAGGCAATGAAACAGGAGCGGGATAATTCCTTTCGAGGTTTATTAAGCTCTTACAGCACTTCCGACATCTCCCAATTTGACATCTCCCGTCTGAAAAAGAACAAACGTTTTCAGTATCTCTCTTGCCGAGCTGCAGAAGCCGCCGAGGATGTTTGTGCTGCCATGTGAAACTTTTGTTTTGCTGCTGGCCCGAGGCAGATGGCACTGCGATGCGTATATATTGCTAAGCACAACTGGGAGGACGATCAAAGATAGCATCTTGATGTTCTACTCGCGAAGCCGCTGTGTCAACCTCCCCGGTTTCACAACATTTTTCCTCGCAGCTGCATAGCGACCGGGTTTCCTTACAAATGTACGTAAACCCTCCCTAGCTGGAAAGAAATCTCAGCTCGGCGTGTGTAAGAAGACCCTTTTCATTATCCGACGTTACGCTGATAGAGATCGAGGGATAAAGGCGAAGTCTGCTGCGCTTTTCTGAGCTTGTTCAACAAGCAATCTGATCAAGGGGAGAGGCAGGGGCGGTGTGTCCCCGCTGGAAAATGATGTTTTCCCGAGTTCGTCCGACCAAATTTTCCGCCCTGCTTTCACGCGCCCTGCAGCTCCAAGCAGCGCTTTTGTGCCCGGCCGGAATGGGGGACAGGCGGCAACGATCCAGCCCCGGGGGAGGCGAGGGAGAGGGAGCATAACGAGCTCCACAGGCTTCTGGAGGAGACAGGCGGAAAGAGGGAGAAGGAACGCGGGAATATGCAGAAAAAAGAAAGAGAAGGAGCATGAGGAGCTCGCTACGCCGAGCCGCGTGTCCCCCAGCACCGAGCA